GAAATAATCATTTATAGGGTCAGGCTTTTTATCAACTAGTCAGTAATATCACCACCTGCTCCCTTTTTCTTTTTTATGAAGGACTGATACCAACTCCTCAAATTGCTCTATCTCCTTATCCTGCAGTTTCTCCTAGCCATTTGAAAATGTTGCCTTATAAACCATTGGAAAACTAAAAGGTATTAATATGAAAACATTTTAAAAATTCCTAACAGCTTAGTTACTGCCTTAAAATTAAAAAAAAAAAAAATCAAAATTCTTTATAGCTGCTGTGGATAAGGAATAAATGATTTTGAGTAGCTGTATTATTAGCCCTTTAATAAAAGGGACTGGCATTTTTATTTATAAATACCAAAGACAAAGAAGCTATACAATTGTACATTGTGATAACCTGTTGGGGGGGGGGGGGAACCCCTATATAATAATACGTATTGTGCATTTTTAGCGCATGTGTGTTAGAAGTCTTTGGAAAACCTCAGATTGTTCACTTTTTGAGCTAAAGGTGAAGTTTTTCAAAGGCACAAGGAGCATTTGGGTACCTCACTCCTGTTGTCTTTCAGTAGAAGTTGGATGTCTTTGAATATAGTCCTCCTGGACACACCTTTCCAGCGGTAGGCTTTGCACTGCCGTTGCATCGTAAGCCTGCTTCCTATTACAGTTCTTCACCCACACTAGGAGATAAAGTACAGCGTTTTCTTTCCAGGATCCATACTTCACTGCTAACAGATTAAGAGTTTCGTATGCCTGTTCCATCTCCTGTGTTAGCCAAACATTTTTCTTAGCTGCTGGCTTGTGTATTGAGGTTGTATGTATCTTTTAGCTCTCTTTTTTTAAGCTGCAGGCAGTTGCTGGACTTCTAGGAGTATTTCCAGTCTGAATTTCCAATGGATCTGAACACGAGTGATGCTGCCGGTTCATCTCTGTATCATGCCTAGCACAAAACTGCACAAAGTGTTTCTTACTATTGTGCCCTGACTCTGCCTTAATGTGTAAGTTGAAAAAGTGTTCTGTAAATATTTAAAGCTGTTACTAAATTGCACTGTAAAATTTGGCAAGGTGTATTGTGTGTTGCTGGGGGAGCCAACTTTTTATGGATCTATCTTTGCATTGTATTGTGTAAATAAAATTCTCTTAGTAAACACAATTTTGCTAGCATGTTTTGGTTTTACCAACTGGAATCTCTCAGGTGGTTTGTGGTTTTTTTTTTTTTTTCCCCAGACTTGAAACTGATTTTTTAGAATCAACTGCTTGGGTATGAGAATGTTACCACTGCTTTCTCATACCCAAGCAGTTGGTAACTCATGGGCTGAAGACTGCATTTCCCAAGAGGCACAGCAGACATGAAGAAATGAGCACCCTATTAAAGACAGTGCTGATCTTCAGAAGAATTAAACCTGCCTGGCCTCCTGGCAAGGCGGATGACCCTGGCCTTACTCATGCCTAGGTGTCTGCATTGTGTAAATGTCACTTCAGTTTACCAACCTCAGGGCAAGTTGTTTTCAATCTTTTCGTATTTCTATTTTTAAAAGAGATAATAAGCAGTGAGCAAGTGGCACTGGAAGCAAAGCTACAACCCTTCATTTTTTTTTTTTTCTACCAGTGTGTAACGTGCCAAAATCAACTTGCAGTTCTTATTTCATTGCCTCACATTTGTGACAGCTCCACTTGTGAGTACAAGTTCCTGTTACCACTAAAGTAATTCCACTAAATTCCACGTTGTTTAAACTTTAACACCTTTCTCAAGCTTCACTAAGAAAACCCTTGAAATACATCCAACACTGAAGATGGAAATAAAAGCCAGACCTGCGCCAGAGGCTTTTCCTTCCAAAGGCAGAAGTGGAGAGCACCTTTAACAGCATACTAACCAAAAAATAGCACTAGGGCCTGTTATAGATGCTGCACAGTTTGTGGGTTAAGCAGTGCTGTCTCATACCTATGCTATGTGTTGCTTTTGGAACACCACTGCAATGAGTAGGTAAACTTTGAGGTCCTCTCAGGTGGCTACTACCATCTCCTACATGCAGTAGTAACACTTCTGTGCAGCTGCTGCACAAGGGCCCTGCCAAATCAGCCAGGCTCTGTCATGCAAAACTCCTAAGACTTAAGGGGCACAAGCCAGGCTTTTATAAAGCAAGAAAACAAAACCTTCTAGCAATCTATCCCCTGCCCATTTGTCTTCTCCACATTTAAACCGGTTTTTAAAAGAGCCAAACAAGCTGGATATAATTTATACTTTAATACAGAAAAGAAACCATACATCTGTAGTTCATACACACCACAGGTAACATTTCAGTATATCTAGAACAAGACAAAACTTGACCTTGTACCTGAATAGTAGGTGACCAAGAGAGGAGGAAAAGCAAATATATGCTTTTTCAATTTGATTTAGTGTTTCAATGGAACTCGCTCAAAAAAAAACCCAAACCAACCCAAACCAAAAATTCATCTTTAATTACTTGGGAAAGCCAAGCAACTACTGTGGCTTTTTGGATAAAAACTGCATGGAAATCACAGAAGCTGGATACTTCCATCCCATGCTGAAGGTCCACATTGATTACACAGAGTACCAACAAGTTCCTACAAGGCATTGAGAGTCTTGAACCCTCAGGCAATGGCCTGCTGCAGTTAAGTGCCTGGGGCCACTATTTCTACTAAACTGGCCGAATCCTTCAAAGCAGCCTAGCTGACGCTGGGCTCAGGGACAGACACTGGTGGGGTTTGTTTTGGCTGAATATGGTACTTAGCTGTCAGATCCTGTAAGGTGCCGTCGATGTCAGATGCTCGGCACCTGACGCCTCGACACAGGCCTGCAGGGTAGCGTTCAAGAACACGCACGTTCAAGTCCTTAGAGCAGAACACGTATAAACTCCAATTCCAAGTCAGCTGGTCAATACCAATACACATTTACTTAAAACTGTAAAAATAAATATACACCAAAAAAAAAAAATCCATAGGGCCTGGGGGCAAGCTCCATCATTGCTGGGGGGACAGTCTCACCCCTGCCTTTGCTTGACCTGTGGGAATGGCTCGTTACCAAGGCAGGTAATGGGTTTGGTCTGGCCCTTAGCTGGAAGGTTAATGGTCCATATGTCTACTTTTCTCTACTACAAAAATAGAAATTCACCTAGAGTAATAATGGAAAGTGATTGCACACCACCTCTGTACAAATACTGAAGGACACTTCTCTATACTGATCCAATGACACACAGGGAGGATTTTTCAAAAGTCAGGTGGACCTGGACATCCCCCTGGGACTCTCAGGAGGTCCTGAAGCACTTTTGGAAATCTTCCCATAGGCACTTATAAAAAGAAGAAATCTATTTGCTGCACTTAGGAAAGAAGCTAAGAACAGAAACACTGCAAAGAATGGAACCTGTATCCATACACATGGGAAATAAATATATCAGCAAGTATATGCCTTGGCAGAGATTTTGTTACTTGTAACTAAAATGATGCTCATAAACCTTCAGGAAAATTTGTGCTTGATACTGTCATGTTACTTACACTGAAAAAAACCAAACATCCTTAGCAGCAAACAGTAACAGCAACCTTCAATGCTAAGTCTACCATATGCTTTGCAGACAGATGGAGAATAATAAAAATTTGCTTGACGATGCAACCCTGACAACAAAGGATTAAACCTGCTAGGGGCAGACTGATACCCACCTCTGTTTTGCCAAGTATGACCAGGTAACTCAATGCAGAAGTGGTACAGGTTTCAATAGCAGTCAGTAACAAGAGCAGAACTCACCTGAACGTAACAACTTTGCAAGGGAGCTCTCTCCCTCCCTCTCTTTTTGAACAGGTTTCAGCTTTTCTTTGCACCAGCACCATGTTTAAGTACCCCGCTTTGGGTATGTAAAACCTCTACGCTGACGTGCAGCTCGGCTGTGGCAGTACTGAACTCACTGTGTGCTCAGCAGGGGGTTAAGCAAGCCATACTGCATTAGAGCTAGGCTCTGATATAACCAGCTGAGCTCAACCAGCCTGGAGTGTGTCTATACCTATAGTCACAGCTTTGTTGGCCCCAAATCCAAAATGAACAGAGCCTTAACTACAGACTAGGATTATATATTCAGAGCAGCAAAGAAGAGTTGTTCCTAGATACATGTATTTTTCTCTACTGAAGGCTGGTTTACTATTGGTATTTCTTACCTGCCTGACAGCAAAATGGTCCAGTCAGTTCCAAACTGGGAAGAAAGTAGCTGGCCTTTTAAAGCTGTAATAGTAGAATGCTCCTTCAAGAGTCTACGGAAGTTTTGACTGACTAAAGTTGATGAGACCAAGGATTCTACTCAGGTAGTAAACTGTCTGTACTGGGAGCTCCTCCCCAGCTTCTTTTTGTCTTAGCAGGGGGATGGAAGCGACAACTTAAAGTCTTTAACATGCAGAGTCACCTCTAGAAAGCTTCTTACATCTATCAGGCTACTAAACAGATTTACTTTGTTGGTAAAACATCAAGTACAGTCTCTTCTTTTTGGCTTTTTCCTTCAGCATGATCTACTTGTTTCACTGAACTTAACAGACAACATCCCTAAGAACAGTGATTCCATCTTATGGAGAAATATATATGGGAAATTCCTGTGGACAGGCATATGCTTCCTATTAAACTAGTTCATCCTACCCTAGAACAGCAGAACAACATGCTGGATGCAAAGCCAGGTGGCAGTGTAAACAGATTTCTCCACACTCAGGATTTTGCTTTCTTCCTCCACACTCAGGATTTTGCTGTCACAACTGTGCTACATTTCTGCTTATTGATGAAAGAGTATCATCTGTCCTGCTTTGATGTTCAGTCCTTTGTAACTGATTACCACAAAAGCAAAGCTAACTGCCTAATGGTAAAGGAAAGCTTTGTCTTGACAGGCCCAGAATTTCCTCATGTCAAACAAGACGTTTCTAAATACTTCTGCTCTTCTTTTAGAAGTTTAGGTAAAATATTCAGCACCCACCAATCTGAAAGCCTTTGTAGTAGAAACAAACAGCATAATTTGTTTTTGTTTGAGGAGATGTTGCTTTTGATTGCACAATTAGACTGTGGAGTGTGGCTCTTTATTAACATGCTTGAAATACGACAACATAGTAAGAGCACAAACGAGGATAAAGCACCTTGCAGGAGTCTGTGTTCCATCACCTGGGATGAAACTATGCCGAGACGTTCCCACATCAAGCAGGACTATCCACCCTGAACCATGACTAATCTGGTAGATCATTAACAGCCATTTGGGAGAATGGTGCGTTTAGCCTGTCGAGTTCATCTACTTGTGGGGGGTGATGCATTATAACCTCATGGTCCTCTGAAACGTCATCACCCACAGTGACAAGGTTTGTTAGAGATTTGCTCCGAACACACTGGAAATCAACATGACGGCTTTTGCCTTCTTCCTTTTCCCATGACATCTGGATGAATGGCCGCTGAACATAGTTGTATATCACTTCTGACCGGCCACCAGGCCTCCTCTTCACCTTCTCTTTGCAGGTGGGATATCCTGAAAACACAGACAGCCCAGTCAGTGGCACTCTGACTTGCACAAAAGGACAACAGGAACCCAGAAGAACAGCCAGGCAGGAGTGATTATGGGGGCAGGGGGCACTTAGACAAATGCTCACATTCCACATTATTGGCCTGCAAAAGACCACTTTCTTTTCCCCTGAAAACACGATGCAGTATTGCATGGAGTCATATGATCAATGGCTGCACAATGTTAGTCATTCTGTGAGCAAACATAGCTACTATAAAAATAAGACAGTGTCCCAGGACAGAGCATGTTCTCTAAGCTCCCTAAGGGAATGCTTGGATCAGCAGGCAAAAGCGTGACTCCCCTTTCCTGGTTGGTTGGTCCTAAAGAGACAAGGCTTATTGGTACACGCTATGTATCTCTCATTTTTCCCTTAACTTTTAAGCCTCCTGGCCAATTTCAGTGTAACATGGTGGAGCTGAAGGAAGATGCCCAGAAATACCTGGAGTCCAGAGGAAACCAGGCTTTACTGACTATGGAGTCACCTGTTTTAGAATTTCCTTTGTTGAAGAAATACTTTACCTTCAATGCCAATGCGAATATTTTTCAGGCCCCGTTCCTTTAATACAGCTTTTGCAACATCGCGGTTCTCGATGTACTTGAAGAATCTGTACAGCTTGGAACTGTAAAGGACTTTGAGAAATAAAAAGGTGATTAGAATCTACAAGGAGGGACTTTCTCCCTGGTTTTGACATGCTCAGCTGTGGGGGTGCCAAAAACCAGGTCCGGTTTCCAAGAACTCCTTCAGGTGTCTGTTCTCATCACTGGGACTCGCTACACTTCCTTGGTGGGAGGGTAGTGACAGACATTACAGTCTGGATGTAATGGGTGGTGATGGGTGTATAAACTAAGAGTATTCACTCACTACAGAGCCTGGAAAAGACTGAGAGGGAGGTGGCAAACAAAAGGAAAAGATGCAGTGAGTACCGTCATTACCAATGCACGCGGTCAGACCAAAGCTCTAACTAGCTGGGTATCCTGCCTCTAGCAGCAGCCAGTTCAGAAGGAACGTATGAAACAGGGCTCCACGTGCCAGCATCTCTTCCTGGAGGAAGACTGCTGTTTAGGCAATGGGTCCTTTTCCTTACAGCGAAGATGTCTGGGTTTGCGCTGAACACAAAGCCAGGAGCCCCAGTGTAGAACCCTTACTTTGCGAGTACTCCTCTCCCATTGGGGGTGGATGATCTTCATCCCAGTCCACGGTGTCTTCATCTGTCAGCACAACGATATGGCATTCACGTTCCCCTTTCCTTGCGCTATCCACCATTATAGGCAGAATTAGCTCCTCCAGGTAGCTATCAAACTGCTTGTGAGCACCATCGTTGGAGAGCTCATGTAACAGAGCACCTAATGAGACATAAATCATATGATAAGCTTTTTTACACAGTATGAAAATATGTCCCAGCTCTACGCTTCCCAGATACATTCAAGAGCACAGCCTGCATTCTTCTTTAGACAAACTCCTTAACATATGTTCATATGCATCAACAGTCTCCAGCTCCAGAACTGGCAAAATCAGATGTATGAGACTGCATTTCAAATGGGATGCAAATTACGTTGTAGAACCATTACATTGCCACTAAAAAACCGCCAAGGTCCAATCAATACAGTGAAACAGTAATAGACTGCATAATTAATTCATTACGATACTTAACTTGAATTACCAGCAACAACTTCTGTCCTTGAAAACACATTTTCTGCCTTCTCTGTGATCACTGAGAGGACAGGGTAGGAAATTCAACCCACAGCCTGTGCTGTGATACCATATACTCCATTTCAGTAGAATGCCTTTCACAGATTTGCCTATGTTGAAAGTACTTTTTTGCCAATGTACCCACCAAAAAGCTCCTCCCAATCAGAACCCTTCATGGCTAGGAACTCTCTACTACTTTCCAGCTTTGGTATCTTTGGTTCCTGCTCTGCCCATCATCCTTTACCTTAAATTATTCACGATTCTCTGGTACATTTTAGACAGGAGTTATAACCCTGCTTTTAGCCTTCATTTAGTTTGGCTGTAACAGCAAGCTCTACTTTTCAGCCTCTGTTACAAGAGGAGACTAGAATTTTTACAACTTCAATGTGCTTTTTTGAGCAAGGTGCCTGCGTTCTGCAGGATTCAATCACTTCACTTTGGATTGATGCAGCAAAAAAGGAAGCTGTTTAAATGCAACGCATACATGAGTCCTAGTGGAGTCCATACCTTCATGCTTAAACTAAAGCACACGATTAAGAACTGCATTGAATCAGGATCAGAGTGCTCAACACCATGCAGATGATTTCCCAAAAGCTGATTTCTCTCCATACTTACTTAAATCTTGACATTTGATTGTGTTGAAATCAAAGTTTATGCAGAGGTAATCACATGTGTCTCGAAGGTCTGGGATGGAAATCCCATCAGGGCAGTTAATTATTCCGGTTTTGTAATAATCCTGCAAATAAAAGGACAGGTTTTGGAGAGAAAAATTAAGAATAGCTTGGACTCTGATAATTTTTAATTAGTTCTTTGTTTTGTTAACCAACATTTGAGAGTTACAGAGGCTATATATAGCTCTATGAACAGTAAAAACAGCCCTGCTTGTCCGAGAATCTACGCCTCTTTGCAGATTCTCTTGGGTCTGATAAATAGTGAGCCCCAGTTAAAACTTTTCCCATGGCATACGGTTTAATAACATCTCATACGCAACACACATTTATATGCAACCACAAGGCCAGGGCGCAGCTCAGGAACTACAATGGCATGACACAAGAAAGGTAAAAGGCAACAAGAGCGAATATCTGAAATGTTGACTCATACCAAAGTCTACTAGAATTTCTTTTAAAAATCACAATGCAAAACAGTAATAAAAGAATATGTCCCAGGGGGTGTGCAGCTGCCTGGGAGATGGCTCAGTTCTGCACATGTGACAAACAGATTGGGTTTTTTTCAATCTGCAAACATCTCCTTACCAGCACAGTCCGGAACACAGCTGAGCTAATTCCTTCTGCGATTTCATATTCTCCCTTTTCATTTGGCCTGGTGAAATTATATTCTCTTCCCGGTCCAAACATTCTGAACAGATAAAAATCTATGTTAGCGCACAAGTATACTTAAATGCATTAATTCTAGAGACCAATAGGTGCACTGACGTTAAACAAAACCAGCAATGACACATGTATACAGTAACTTGAAACCTATATTCAAATCTCTTAGTAAATAAGCACAAGAGCTGTCTCAGCTAAGTCCTCCTATAGCTGGACTCTGTCTGTCACTATAGGTACAGTATTGTATGGAACAAGCCACAGCTCAGAGGAACAGACCATTCAACCCTGGGTCAGAAAACGCCCTGGCAATAAAGCCCTTTCACTGAGGCTGTGCAAGATAACCGCCACATGCCTTTTGATCCGTTGTTTTACACAATGGCCTGCGCAAGGGTCAGTAACCCAAGAGAACCTGGCTCCCTTTGGTCAGAGGCGGGTAGAAGTGCTGGCAACAAAGAAAATGAGTGCTTCTTGTTGCATCAATAAGCCCCAATCTTTAAGCCGCGTTTACAGGGAGCTGAGTGACTTCTCTTTTGGGAGAATATCAAAAGATAACAGCAGGAGGGGGATGAAGCATTATCATTTTCCCCATTCTGGAAGGGAGGTTATCAGCTGTGAACAGATGCACTACTTACAAACAAGGCAAACACTTGGAGAGAAGGCAAAAGGAGACCACGTCTAGCGAAAAGTGCACATTGTTTGAAGGAAGTGGACTGAAGGGACAATGTTACCTAGAGAACTACCAACTCCCTCTACTTCTGGTCATGTCTTCAAGGCCTCACTCACAGCCAAGTTCTGAATGAGGTCAACCTTGCTTTGCTTGCGCGTACAGATGAGATTGCAAAACAAACATTAGGGATTTGTTCCATTTTAGCAAACACTTGACTCCCTTGAGGTGAAAATAGTGGAAATCACCCACCTTCCCAGCATAGTATCAGGGTGAGCAGTGAAAATCTGTGGATTCACTGCAAAGCGAGTGCCATCTACCACAAGCGTCACTTTCTCTGGAGCCGCTGTTTGTGCATTGCTGCTTGAAGACAAAGCGCAGCATCCATGGCGTTCCTGGGTATTAAAATATTCTGTCTGTCTCTTATTTCCATCCTGGAAATGACAGTTGTGCGTGTCTTCAGGAGCAGACAACATACTACTGATTTGGGAACTTACTGGACAAGCAGTGTGTCGGCATTCAGAATCTAAACCCGAGAGACAAACATATATTGCAAGTGTAAGATATAATTTATTGAAAAACTTCCATTTCATAGTAACACTTCCTACTGTAATGAGAAAACTGAGTCATACAATAACAAAGGACGTCAATATACATAACTCCCAGGGTAATGTTATGTGACATCAAAAACTGGACTGCATTTTTCAAATTGGAAACAGTTTGGATTTTGGACAAAAATTTCCCGATGAACCATGGTGCTTAATACTCCTTGTTAAAGCAAAATGCTCTGGGTAAAGAGCAGGAGCACAGGAATTAAACAAACCAGAAATACAGACACAGATTCCTAGCACTGACAACTACTCTCACAGGAACGCTGGAGCAGAAGCGCACGCTGCACTAGAGGTGGTTTAAGCCAGCAGCACTTGATGCCCGGTCCATGGTGGGCACCCAGCTCATCAGGACAGTCCAGCTACTTCCAGTTAATCTGTTCAGGGACAACCTCAGGAGGAGCTGCAAGCTGGCTGGATCTTGCCAAGAAAGCAAGACCCTTAATTCCGCTGTGGACCGCTGTCCTTTAGAGCAGCCTGGCAAAAGCAGGGTACGTACTCCCCAGTGCAAACTACCTTGGGATACTGGAATTTTTCCAAAACATAACACCCTTCAAAAAAAAAAAAACAACCCACAAAACCTCCCTTAAAGATTGCTATAAGGTAAAGACAGTATCCTTACCCTCAGTCCTGGGAACTGCAGCAGGGCTGTGACCTCCTAGCACCACATCACTTTCTTCTGACTCATGGACTGCTACAGTTATGTTTTCCACAGAGCAACTCAACTCCGGATTTCTTGACCAATCTGTCCCACCAGCACAGTTAACATTCATGCTGTGCCTCCGTGATGCGAGGAGCTGGTTGCGTTTCCTAAGAGAAGAGCTAGAAGAGAAAACATCAGGTTGTTAGTTTTGGAAGACACTCCCAAGCAATGAAGCTCAAATCCCTGTAGCTGGTACCACAAGCAAAGTCCCTCAGGCTCAAAAGGCACTTCTTCAGAAACCGTGTTTCAGAGGCTTATGATGGCAGTTATGCCCCTATGCTTACCTAGGAAGAGGGGGAAAAAAAAGGTTTTAAAGTAACCAGGGGTCTATTTAATCTAAAAACCTTTGCTTTTTTAAAAGTAAGTTAATTAAGCCACTGATGTCTTTAGATCACACGTATATTCCTGCAAATAGCTTCCTGGCAATTGCCTGACCTCCAGACCACTAGAGCCCTTTAAAAATGTTTACATATCTCTTGATTCCTAGCACTGGCAAAATGAGCTCTGTAACACGGCTATAGCCCGAAATACAACATTTTCACAGTTAACAGCTCAGGCATTGCTTCTTAACCACTCTGAGGTTTGACTAGAAGGTTCCCTGCTCCCAGTCATTGCTTTTTTTTGGTCTTCCTTCTTCTTGATTTATCACCCTCCTGTTATATAGTGTTGTGCTATACATATATATGGTTTTGGCTGGGGTAGAATTAATTTTCTCCACAGTAGCC